ATTTTAATATATACTTTTAAATTAACTAATTGAGTAATGTATAATACTAAAATTTCAATTATAATGTACAGTTTGATACCAAACCTATTGACATAAATTCATGAAATAGTAGTTCAATAAAGTTTTGAATTCGAGTCAAGAAACGAGATGACAGGACTTTCACCCATGACCCATCTGGAAAGGATTAAACAAAATTATATATAAAACCTGTATTTATTGAGGACTAGTAATTATCAATTCTGACTAATTAGGCATGTCCTAAAGTTAAGATTTTAGAAATTAAGTATTTGAAGAGACATTCGTAAAGTCAGCATCTTTGTTAGATATCATGTAACTAAATTTTGAATTTATCTTAGAAAACAAATTATATTTATTTGTGATTTTATGTATATAGGTAATGCCATAATGATATATTTAACTAGTGCTACTTGGATTTTCTCTTCATCAATTTTTACATAGGTAGAAACAGTCTATGACCAGTGATTGATATTTGAATCAAACCTGGAGCTGAAATAATGTATAAGGACAAGATATTCTGGTAGAATTTCTCGATTTAAAAAATCTTACGATTTTCCATTACTGCTAGTTAAAAATGAAAAACAACATAGAAATTGAAAAGTCACAAACATACATAGTTTTTAGTATAACACACCCATATTTTCCTCTGCCCTATTAAATAATGGTCAACATGTGTGGCAGTGTGTACATGGTTAAAAGATATATATATAATTGTGGTAAAATATAGTTGTATATACGGTAAGTAATACACCTACTGTATAAAAGCATCTCAGATTTACAGAACAAAATTTCAGAAGAATAATTCCTTAATCAGCTGGTTATCCTTGTTCCATTGATGAAAGGAGTGCTCTTATAGATATTATAGAATAAAAAATAGCTTATAATTAACAACTTTGATCCAGAGAGAGAATAGTTTACCTAACATGATTTCCAAGTCAAGAAATTGGTTGGTAACTATGATTCTTACAGATATGACTGCCCTCAAAGTCACTGAGGAGGGAGTGGACAGTGAGACAAGCAAAGATACTCTTGGTCCTCTTCTTCCACCCACAACCCAGTCTCCTTGGGGAGTACAGATGCCTTATTCTGGGAATTATAACCCTCAAATTATGGGATTCATGCCAATGCCTCTTCATTATACCAATGAAGCAATCTTTCCTCCAGAAGGGAGTGCTCATAGTGGTTCTGGTAAGAATTAAAATACTGTTCTGTATTTGGTACTATTTAATGAAATTGAATTGGAGAAATCTTAAACTAGTGACTGCTTTTATTTATGGAAGAGGTTGTTTTATATTTTTCTTAAGAGAAAACAAGAACATATAAGGTTGTTTTACTTAATAACATTTTAACACCAGAAAAAATATATCTAATTTCCGACAAGGTACCTTACTTTCACTCCCGTACGTAGCTATTCTCGTTCAGTGCTGCTCTCTATTTGCCAAAATGTTTTCTTATGCCACAAGCTTTTCACTCCCACACACCCCTCAAATAACATGGTTTAACTGATTCTCAGATGCAAACTATCATGCAACAAATCTCCACCAATAGTAGTGTCAAACACCCACATGACTTGTGATTCCCTCTATGCTATTCTATCTAACTATTACCTCTTTTAATCCTATCCATTTTATCCCTCTTAGTTTCCAGCTTTGTCTTACCCTATCAACTCTCCTTCAGAGTATGTCTACCTTACACCTCCTTTCTTAAGCGTTACGCCAATATCTAGGGGATTTTCGTGAGATACTTCTTACTCCATGTTAGGGCAAATGCCATCTTCAGTTCTTTTTCTCCACATGTGGTTTCTTTGCTTTTGAGATCTTCTGGGGTGGGGCACTGTCTTGTACCATTTGTTTACCATCCACTTTTAATGGGGATACACAGTTGGCTCTTTTTTTCCACTGATCTGTTTTTGGGGCTACTCCTGTGCGATGCTGTGTCTTATTTATTTTGGTTGCTCTTTTGTTTCATTCTGAGTCATTACCATCTTTATTTGCATTTCATGTCTGGCATTTTCCTGCCCTTTACCTGCCCCATGTACAGGTTTCTCCATTCATTGTGTATGCTCAATGTTGATTGGAGTTTTGGTTAAAACAGTCCTTCCTCATTCACTTCTTGGTTCTTCCCCATTTTTAATATGTAGTCTTTGATCACAATCGGGTGGCCAATTCCTATAGGACTGAGAATGCCCATGGTACATGTTCTTATTTTTCATTTCTCTGGTTGCTATCTTAGGTTTTTCATCACGTGAATTGGTACCAGTTTTGTGCCTTGCCCTTCAGACTTGTTTCGGTTCTGTATGTCTTTTGTCAGGTGGTTTGCATTTTACTCAACTTCTACATTTTTCTCTATTTTACTAACACCACTACTTGGATGCTTGGCTTCGGTTAGCTCCTAACAAATGGGGGTGGTCATAACATACTCATCTGCTTGTTACATAACCAGCTTGGGTGGTTGGATTTTCCAGTTGAATAAATTTTTCCTGTTACCGACCTAACAATCTTTGCTATTTTGGGAGTGTCTTTTTAAACACCCATCTCTCTCAGGATTATCCATTCTCCTCCTCAAATGCATTCAATGGAGCTTTCTGTTATCCACGCTATTATGGTTCACAATCTTACTGCTAGCAATGTTCTAATGCATTGGGGATGTGGCTTCTATGGAAGCATTTCTCCCTTAGGGTCTGGCACATTTGTGGTCTTTTGAGGAGATGCTACATGACCCATGGTCTCTTGCTAGGGTTCCTTTGGATTTTCCTTTTAACTTTCCTCCTTCCCTCTTTGACTGTATTCGTTGATATAGTCAACGCTCCACCAATAAAAGTGCGACATACTCTCATAACACATGAGACTCCCTCTATTCAATTCTACCAAACTGTCACTTCTCATTTGGCAGTACTTGTGTTCAGACATTTTTTTTCTTTTGGTGCTCTTCGTGTGATCGTTTTTGTGATTTTAGTAGTTTAATTTCCGAAGTGTGATTTCTTCATTACTTGTTTCTTTACATTGAAGAAAT